CAGTGGAGTGTGGGTGTGTGGGTCGGTGCTGTACTTCTCTAAGCACCGTCACCCACATCCACACCCACAGCCACAGCCACAGCCACACCCCACCCACACCCAGATAAATTAACTCAATCTGTATGTAGATAAGGAGGATTCAGACCACACCCACACCCACACACCCCAAAAGATGTGAAGCTGACATCGGTTAGGTATAGAGTTGATCTTTTTTCCAAACTGATCCATAAACAATTGATCGTGTCGATTCATTGATTAGATGAAAACAAGAAAATCCGTAGATTAAATTAAATGCGAAAGGCAAATGAAGAACGGACGCTATTGCGCATGTCAAAATGCGTCAAAAGATAAAGACTGTCTGTGTAATGGACGTATAATTACAATGACAACTGGAGTTTTTTAAAATATGCAAAAATGCCACGCACAATGTGCAAAATAGGTTTGTTTCATTCTAGTTTGTTTAAACAGTAGGTGATTCAACGAAGAGAATGAAAGAAACTGGAAAAAACCATACATATATATGCGGAATATGTCGATAATATGTGTCACTTTTAACATGAGTCACACATACAACACAAAAAGATACCAACTTCAGCAGTTAAAAAGGAGGTGGTGTAAAACAGTTGCTATGTTTATCGATTGGCTCTCAAACATAGTTCTATTGAAGCAGTAACCATGTACGAACTTTTTCTGGGAAGATATAAGCAGCAAAAGTTGGATGACACACAGCAATTCACACAGAAAAGAATCAACTGCGAACAGATCAGTTTGATTTGGCTCGATAGTCAAATCGGACAGGAGACTCGTTTTATTGATGATATTCATCTTACTGAGCAGACATTACGTCAGTTAAACGATCATGTTCTCATGTTTTGTGATGTGTCAGACTGTCTTACTCATGTTGAATCAATAAAAAGTGAAACAATTCTACTTGTGGTAGCTGGTTCATGCACATCGCCTGAATTTCTGAACAAATTGCACAAGATGCGACAGATTGATTCGATTTTCATCTTCTGTCGAAAAAGAAATATTTATGAGCCATTCTTATTCAATAAAGATTATCCTAAACTAATTGGTGTTTTCGATGAACAGACAAGTTTAGAGTCAAGCATTGCACATGTTACTGAACAAATCGACAGACAATTGGCTGTCTTTGCTCTCCATTCTTCCGACAAACAAAAGTCGATGCGAGATCTTAATCGAGAATCAGGTTCATTCATTTATCTTCAACTTTTCAAACGAATCATTCAAAACATAGTACCAAATCAAGTTGCTATGAATAAAAGCAAACAAGAAATGCTTGAAAAATGTCACCTCTACTATCGTGATAATAAAAAAGAGATGGAAAATATTGCCAAATTCGAACGTGAATATACATCCAACCAAGCCATCAAATGGTACACAAACGATTCATTTATTTATAAACTCGTAAACAAAGCTCTGCGTACAGAAGATATCAATACTTTGTACACTTATCGTTTTTACATTCGAGATCTTCGTGCATGTTTAGCCGAAAATTGTCAATTATTGCGTGAATACACATCAAAGATGATGGTCTACCGAGGAGCAAAGATGTCAAAAACAGAAATTGAGCGGCTTTGCAACAGTATTGGTCATCTTTTAGCAGTGAACGGATACCTTTCGACGAGTAGGAATAAATGTGTATCAGAAATGTTTGCTGGCATAGGATCAAACAATTTATCCAATACTGACAATATCGAAGCGATTATTTTTTTTATCGAAGTAGATTTGGAGAAAAGTTCAGAAACTATTCTTGCAGATATACAACATCTTAGTTCGCACAAAGATGAAGAAGAAGTACTCTTCGATTTTGGTTCAGTATTTAAGATCGAATCAATGGAATATGATGAGCAGTTACACTATTGGAAGTGTTCACTATCTGCAAGTGACGAAGGTTATACTGTTGGCAAAGAGTACATTAATTATGCAGAAAATGAATTAGGCAAATGCGACGATATTGAATTGATCTTCGGTAGCCTACTATTAGAAATGGGTGAATGGTCCAAAGGTCGTATTTATTTTGAAAATCTCAAACAACGTCGTTCCTACGATCCACGAATCTCTTTTTTCGTTGGTCTGATCCATCAAATATCCGGTGAATTAGATCAAGCACTATCGCATTTGATGCGAGCTTTTAATTCGATTATATCACAGAAAAAAGAATTTATGGCGTTTACAGCCTTAGTCTGCTGCAGTATCTTGCAACTATATCACATGAAAGGTGATCTTAATCGAGCACTTCGATTCGGTGACAAAGCTCTCGAACTTTGTCAACAAGTTAGTGAATATGAGAATGTGATGATTACTGCTCAAGTGTTGATGAGCATTGGTCTTGTACATTTTGATAAAGGCAACGATGATACAAGCTTAGAATATTTAGAAAGAAGTTTTCGACTTTTGCAACGTATCTGCCCATTTGACAACCCTGCAATCATGAATTGTTTGAATTCTCTTTCATGTGCTCATTATCACAAAGGAGATTACAACAAAGCGCTTGATTGTCTGTTGAGATGCGCAGAAATTGGAGAGCAACTTCTTCCCATCGATCATCCTATTATTTCTTCTATTGAGAATAATATCGGCAAACAATTTTATAAACAAGGCAAATATGATGAAGCACTCCAAAGATTTCGTCGAGCAGCTGACATTGATGAGCGAACATCGACCAGTAGCAGTGATGGTCATATTGTTGTATTGAACAACATAGGTAAGGCACTTTATCGGCTAAATAAATTCGATGAGGCAATCATGCAATATGACAAGGCATTCGATTTGATTGAAAAAATCTTCAGACCACTACTTGATCATCCTTATGTAGCTTATACTTTGAAGAACAAAGGTGAAGTTTTATTCGCATTGAATGATTTATTCGGTGCATTTGAACTATTTAAACAAGCTCACGACATCTACGAACGTCTTTTTGAACCTGACAATAATCATCGAGATATAGCCAAATGCAAATATCTTATTGGATTGACTCATCTTGCTCTTGGCAATGAACAGAAAGCAGCTGATGCACTCGACAAAGCTTTACGCATGTGGACAAATGTACTGCCTAAAAATCATCCCGATCTGGCTCTTTGTCATCAATCCATGGGTGATCTACATATACAAAAGAAGGGAGAAACAGACAAGGCTTTTCTACACTTCCGAACAACAATCTCAATCTATGAAGAGCATTTACCAGTCGATCATCAACGATTGAGAGATTTAAAGAGAAAATTGTCTGATCTTCACAATTAGCATGCAGCGACTATGTCATAAATAGCTCTCGTCTAGAAATATCATCTGTATCCCTGTTAAAAAACTATTCAGGAAATGTAATATAAATAGACTGAGTGTTTCGAAATTCATATGCACGAAAGAAATATTGAATTTTTTTTTTGAGTTAGTGAAAAATTAATGTCTCACGGCCTATTAATACATCCTGTAATGGTAACACAACATGAACCAATATCACGAGATACGGAGGAAAAAGAAAGGAAAGAAGGTGAAGAAAGGAAAAAGGAAAAGAAAAAAATATATAGAAGGGAGTGTAAGGCATAAAAATAAGCGAGAGTACGAACTGGCGCAGAGAATACAGAATACAAACTGAAAGAAAGACAGTACAGATCGCTACCACGAGAGATATACTAGGAAATGAAAACGTCAATAGAGTAGATGATGAAAGAAATCACACAGTAGTGAAATATTGAATTGTTAGGCTAAAATGCTTCGTTTATTAAGATTCCCATCACTCCATGAATTTTGTGAAACTGTTGATTTATGATATTCTCTACATCTATATTCCGCAAGCGATAACGAAAAAATTTGCAGCCACGTCATTAGAATTAGTTTTCAACCAATATCTTCCACCTATCATATTTTCATCAATCACCTGAATGTTATTTGAAATTTTGTTTTGATGTTGATTTTGAAGATGTCCATCTAGCTGCCGCTATCTTGACTTACAACCTCCGTAAAAGAATTATCAGACGACTTTCATCTTATATCCATTCAGATAAATCGGAAATCATAAAGATACATACAGTCCATTTCGCTAATTCTGTCGGAAAAATTTTGCCTATTTTTGTTTCAACTGGGGTGCCACTGTTTTACATACGATTCAAAAATATTTTTATATTTCTGTAATCTCTAAATTCTCCTCTTTCAAGCGATATATTATTGGTCTTTCATTTTTCATGTTTTCATAGTGAAATTATTGCTCTACGAAAAATCACTTCACCAGACAGAATTAGGTAGTAGTGCCCTAATCCTGATGGTCAGCAAAAAAATTTTCCTAATTCTGACACTTCTAACAAATTACATAGAAAAACTCAATTTTAGGAAAAAATTGTTTTTTTCGTATTTTAATGAGAAATGGAGGGGAAGTGTCTGAGATGCGTTTGTAGAGTGAATCAAGCTCTATCATATTCTAAAGGTTCAAGACAATTGGATTTTCATTTTTCAAAATACAGACATTGAAATGAAGACACCTAAGAATAATGGAAAAAAGTTGTCCCTAATTCTGTCGCCCAGCTATTTTTTGTCCCTAATTCTGGCGGTAGCTGTTTTTATCTAACAGTCATTTTTTACCCCTAATTCTGACGCATACTGATTTTTTTTTGTGAAGTATCATCACAGGAATTGTTGACTGTTATTATGTGGGACAAAAACAAAAGTGAAATATTTTTTTCCGACAGAGGGTGTGGGTGGGTGGGGTGTGGGTGTGGGTGGGTGGGGTATAGGTGTGGGTGGCTGGGATGTGGGTGCGCGTGTGGATGTACGTGTGGATGTGTGTGTGGGTATGTGGGTGCGGATGTGGTTGTGTGGGTGTGGGTGGATGTGAGTGAAGAGACGGCCAACACCCACACATACACCCACACCCACACCCACGCCCACACCCGCACCCACACCCACACCCACACCCACACCCACACCCACACCCAC